AATCTATTTCATCATAGTAACACATATTAAATATGGAATATGGAAATTTGCGAAACGAAAATGATTAAGTGTCTTCAAGTCATAAAAATGAAGTTTCTAAATAAAATTTAATAATCCCAACTTTGGCCATATCAGGAAAATCCCATGAATTTCCATGCATTAAAGCTACAGAGAATGTGTCTGAAGAACTTTTCCGTTTGGGTTTTCCATTTTTATTCGACGCATTTTTTCCCCATTCATTCGTATATCTTTTTGTGAGGTTTGTGTGACATGGCGCGAGCCGAAGAGCCAATATTAATCCACTTAAAAAACAACACACAAACAAACAAACATAAAATTCGTGTGAATGTGTGTTATCACATCGTTGTCAAGCTACCATTTTATTTTCTGACTTGATTTTGATTCATAGCAAACAGAAACAGAAAGAGACACAAGTGAATAAATTACATTGGTATAATTACAATGTGAGCAGTTCATAAGACATTGAAACGGAGATGACTTTGCCGCGAATGTTTCGTCGCTTTTTATGTTTTATGCATTAAATAAAAGAAAGTAAAATGACAATACTATCAATGTTATACATTCTGTGTGCGCATGTAAGAGGAAAATAAGGACTGCGAACGATTACAAAAATATTCGAGCGCATAAAAAACCGTAATTTAGCCAATTTCAATGGAACATGTTCACTTTGTGGTTTGGAAAATGGGTTTTGATATCAAAAATTGGTGGTCCCATGTAATACTATTTCGGGGACAATTTGAATTCATCGAAATATCCATCGATCTCGGGCTCTTTCAAAATTAAGAAATATTCTCTGATAAAGCTTTTTTGGTACATAATTCTCGGTGTTCATACACTTTCGAATATATCGAATGGCGATTTTATTTGCCATCCATTATGATATCAATATTGGGAAGAAAGAGTAACAGCCATTCCGGAATATTTGATGAATAGAAAACGTCAAGGCAAACCCAAGCACCATTATACTCACTTTCTCACATTTTCTCATGAATGACAACTGAGAAGGGTTTTGACCTGAATTCATCGTCGGTATTGTTATATTTGCAGTTGGTGACAACACTTTCCTGCATGGTTATCTACAAGCAACGACCAAGAAAAATGTATTTTTTTTCCATTTTCATCACAGAGAATTCAACAGAATGCATGCAAAGCAACGCTAAAAAAGAGAGCTATTTTCGACCGTCTCAATGGCGGTATTTTCATTTGTATTGAATTTCTTTTCTTTAAAAAAAACTCGACGCTCGTTACTTTTCAATCGCGAAACTTTCTCGTTAAACATTTACTTGGAACGAAAATGATAAACATTACTATGCTCACAAAATTATCTTGTCATACATTTTTCTTTGAAAGAAGAAGAGAACAAAAAAAACACACACAAAATAAGTGAAAAGCTAGACGCTCCTAAACATAATTCTTTTGAAAGAAAAAAATGTCCGTTATATTTTGCATTCAATGGATTTTTTCCTCAATATATTTCATATTTTTGCTGAAACTATTTGATCTTTTATCTATGATTTAGTATAATGTGTTTTGAGAAAAATGTATCTTTGAAGTTTCCGGGTTTTATTTTATCATGAATTTGGATGCTTTCCTAAAAAGAACAAAAAGGAAGCAACAACACTAGATCTGTGAAATAACCATATATTGAATGAAATGGCAATGTATTTGGAAGTAATGCTTGATGTATCGATGTATTAAGTTCGATATTACGGAGGAGGCTGTTTTCAACGTTATGAGCACAATAAACACATCTAAAGGTGCCGGCCCAGATAAAATTCCACCATTATTCATTCGTAACTGTGCAAATTCACTGACGAAACCATTAACTGCAATTTTTGCCAAATCAATAGCAGAATGTGAGTATCCAAGCCGCTGGAAAGCGGGTCAAGTTACGCCAATTTTTAAGAGTGGAAGAAAATCGGATGTAAATAACTACAGGGGTGTGACTGTAATGTCAGTATTTGCAAAAATGTACGAGACAATAATCCACAATCAACTCAAATTGGTGGTCTATCCGCGCTTATCAAGGAATCAGCACGGATTTGTGCCAAATAGAAATATTTCATCGAATTTATTGGAATTCACATCATATATCCAACACGCATTCGAGGGCAAAAATCAAGTAGATGTATTTTATGCTGATATAAAAAAAGCATTTGATTCTGTGAACCAACGAAAACTTATACGGAAGATAGCTCGCTTTCCACTTAGTAATTCAGTACTCAAATGGTTCGAATCATATTTCTCAAATCGAACTCAATATGTAAAAGTGGGATCCGAATCCTCGGAAAGCTTCAACGTGCCATCTTCGGTCGGACAGGGATCAGTTTTGGGCCCAATTCTGTTCTTAATTTTCTTCGATGATTCTGACAACCACATAGCTAGCTCATTGTCACTAAACTTTGCCGACGACAAGAAAATCGCGCATATTATCAAGACGCCGAATGACTCAGCAACTCTGCAAGCAGCAATTGATAATTTCATAACATGGTGTGAAGACAATGATTTGTCAGTTCATGCAATGAAATGTAAAATTATGACGTTTTCGATAAAAAAGATTAACTTGCACATGAATTACTTTATTGAGGGAGTGCCTATTGCAAGAACTGACAGTATTCGAGACCTGGGAGTAATGCTAGACTCAAAATTGAATTTTTCTGAGCATATAGAATACGTTACTAATAAAGCGCACGCTATGCTCGCCTTCGTTAAAAGACATTGTTATAAGACACTCAATGTCGACATTGCCAAAATGTTGTTTTATGCTCTGGTCAGATCACACTTGGAATTCGCCAACCAAGTATGGCTTCTACATCACTCAAAATACATCAACTCAATCGAAAGCATTCAGAAACAGTTTGTCAAGTTCATTCACCCAAATAACAGCGCGAACAATCAACATAACAAGTACGAACTCCGTCCATACCAAGACCGTTGTGCAGACATGAATATAACCACATTACAAAGAAGAAGAGTTAACACATGCATTTTATTTATTCACGATGTCATATCTGGTAAAATTAACTCTCCCCGTCTACGAAACCAAATATCGTTTTTCAAAATAAACTATTTTACGAGAAGTCCTGATTTTATCAAATTGGATCGCTGCAGACCCGATTGTACTGATAACTCACCATTTCGAATGGCTTGCCGGTTATATAATCGGACTGCTTTACATGTTGATGTAACTCTGGACAGAGAAGCTTTTAAGAACCAAGTCATCCGATTACCAAGCTCAATTTTTGAAGAATTTTGTATATAATCTAGCTGTGATAGAATTTCTAACATTGTTTGAGACTGAATTGCTATATGACTAAATTTAGATTCAACTTAAATTCATTATTTGACGATTAACTGTGATTTATTAACTATATTAACTATTTACATATTTGTTTATTTATTTTTCTATACTATACAAACTATAATTCTTAAATTTTGTTAATACCTATGTGATTCTCATCCACTCTCTAAAAGAGTCTTGGTTTTTTAGTTATGGTCCAAGACCAATCTTTTCCAAGCATAACTCATTCAAATTAATTATAATTATGGCAATTGTAAATTGTAACTAAACAGTCGGCTTATCAAAGTAGACTCAAAAATCGAATAAATAATAATAAATAATAAAGCAGAATTTAAACCAATAATTCAGTTTCAGGAGTCCGCAGAAAAACTAACCAATTTAAACCAGAATTCTATCATTTGAATTAACAACTATAACAACTGTAAATGGAAAATATTCATAGAAATTCGGTAGTTTGTTGTGCTGGAGCTACTATTCACAAGGTCTATTGGGTATTCTGCCATGACTATGTTTTTTCCGGAAGGGCATCTCAAGAGCTACAAACTCGATCGTATGTATCTGGTTGGCCATTTTGGATCATTTCTGTTTTGCTTGATGTATCATTAAGCTATAAAATTGTTTTCGGTTTGTTTGTGACACGCATAACTATAAACTTGAAACCTATTTTTTGGATTCTTGAGCCCAATCTACAGATAACATATTTTTAACCATACAAATCTGATAAAATTGGGAAATTTTCCTGGATATTTTATTTAATCTCACTTGTTTATACATCGAATATTATTTCCAAGTACATGTATATCTCTTAATTTTGAATTTATTTACAATAAAATTTATAAAAGTTAGTTTAAGAAAAATGTAATTGAACTTAAGACGCTTCGCCTTCATATTCATTTTATGTACCAAATAAAATAATGAATAAATAAACAAATAATATGTGAGATAAATTATTGGAACATTTTCAAGGAAATGAACGGCCTCTACTTATACTGACGCAATTGCGTTTTCATAATGTTTGTGATTTGGCATTTGGTAATGTTAAAAATTGCGTCAGTATAAGTAGAGGCCGTTCATTTCCTTGAAAATGTTCCAATAATTTATCTTATTCGAACTGTCGTAAATAAAAACAAATTAATTTTGTTTTCTTACCTTAATAAATAATATGTGGTCCCGCAAATAATATTTGAATATTGATAAACTTTTCGAAGATATATATAGATATATTCGGCTCATGTCTAGCCGAAAACGTGCGAATAGGTAATAATTCGGTTTCAAATAAATTAAAATCGTCAATTTATGAATAACATTTACTATGTAGTTCGAATTCGCTGTTGATAATCACTCAAAAGACACACTCAAAAATCATACTCATTCTCCTAATTTCTATATGGGGTGTTATAAAAATGAGATTTGAAGTATTATAAACCGAATGTTCGAAGAACCATTTTAATAAGTAACATCGAATTGGAAAGAATTTGTAGGAAGAAATGAAGAAGAAAAATGATAAAAAATGTCACAAAAGGTAATTTAGTTATAGCCTTAAATTGAAGAGCATGCGAGCAAGCACGTGAACAATAATAAGGAAATTAATGTTTAACTTTGATGTAGGAATTATTCCATTGTTCCATACCTTACATATCTGTCATTCAGTGAATAGTTGTTTGCATTGCTGGATCTTTTGTATCAAAACAGCCTTAACAATCAGTCGTAATGATATAAAGTAATTGTTTCAACGCTACGCCAATTCATTTTGATAGCTTGAGTGATTTCGTCTAGTCAAGATAAAATTGAAATACGCTTATTTCCATATTTCGAAAAATCATCGCCAGAAAAATTGTTCAGATGTAATTAAATCATTTCTGCTCTCTGTTCGTATGTTTAGAGTTGCATCAATATAAGAAAGTGAGAAAAATCGCATTTGCATAAGGTAGAAGCCCTCACGCACGAAAATGACGGAATCCTATGGAACACAAGCAGCTCATGCTAATGACAACACAAAGGAAGCCATACCGTAAGTTTTTCACAGATTTTTTTTTTTGCACAAAAATCATCTTTATTTTCAAAGTTAAAACTACAAAGAGTAATGGGTTCATTCTGAATTGAAATAATATTTGAATTGATTACACTGTATCTTTATCCAAAAATAGCATGTGTCAATTTTCTTTCGCTTATTTGCAGTGTATCTTTAAGAGTGCCGAAAATATCATGTTGTAGCCGATTTACACAATTCCTGTCAATCTATTGGAAGTCATTGCTCATCGTTTTAACACCGATTGTCTTACTGCCTATTATTCTGCTTAACGATATACCTGTGAGTAATAGAAGGCCGTTGGTTCTTTTCTTTCAACGAATAAATTCGAGCGATCGCTTCTTTTTCCAACATTATTGTTATAATACCATGACATCATACGTGCTTGAATTTTAAATTCATTGATTGAGTCAACACCACCAGATTTTAATACCAGACAATTGATTTTTATTTTACTCATACACTTTTTTCTATTCCAGGAACATAGATGTATGTACGTTACACTATTGATGACGGTTTATTGGTGCTTTGAAGCCCTGCCATTACGTATGTTTGATATAATTTACTATTTATTGTCAATTAAATTCTCTATATTTGCATTCGATCCATTTTCATTAAAATAAACAAATTTAAAAAGTACATAATTTTGCTACCAAATACGAAATCCAATAGCTATTTTAATGTATTTCGTACGAATTGATCGCACACATTAATTTATGATCATTCGTGCGAATGGTGATTGTTTACGCAACGGTTGTTGTTGCCGATTTTCTATTGTTCAAACAATTGCATGTACAGCATGTATGTGCGACTGTGCGTATAAGTTTTTTCCATAACCACCCGTACACATAAAAATAGTTACACATTTGTTAATAATTATTTTCTTTTATAGCGGTCACATCAATGTTACCCTTAGTCCTATTTCCAACACTTGGCATTCTTGTAAGTGAATTTCTTTCGCACTGCACATTCCATCCACATGTACTTCAATTTGGTGTTCATTCGATTTAATAAATTAAAAATGTATTTTAGGATACCGATGCAACATGCAAAAACTATATGAAAGATGCTATGTTGCTGTTCATGGGTGGTATGATCATAGCATTGGCCATACAGTACAGCAATTTGCACAAACGTGTGGCATTGAAGATGATTTCGATCATTGGATGCAGTCAGAGAAAGTGAGTTATTAAGCACCATGTGAGCAGATTTGAAATGTTTTTTTATTTTTATTTTTTCGTCGTTTTAGATTGAATTTCGGTTTGATTGCCGTAACCATGTTTGTATCTATGTGGATTTCAAATATAGCCGCCACTGCAATGATAATTCCAATCGTGCAAGCTGTATTGGAGGAATTTGAAGCGGTTTGTCTCCTTTTTTGATCACATTGTTGTGATACAATAAACGCTTACTATTTCTTTCTACAACCAACAGCAAGGACTTTGTAAAATGTACGAAGACGATAGTCCGCATGCTAAAGAAGAAGGAGTGTGTGCCAATAAGAAGCCAACCAAAATTACTATATGTTACTACATAGGCACTGCTTTTGCCGCCTCGATTGGGGGTTGCGGTTCAATTATTGGTACCGGGACAAATTTGGCTTTCAAAGGCATTTACGATTCGTTATTCCCAGATGATGAAATTTCGTTTGTGAAGTGGATGATCTACAATATTCCAGTAATGCTAATCAATACGTTCTTTACATGGATGTACTTGCAATGGTATTTCATGGGAATGTTCCGACCGAATAGCAAAGAAGCCAAACAATTTCAATTGGGAAAAGACGGCGAGGAAGTTGCTCGACAAGTCATTATCAAACGTTACAATCAATTGGGTCCAATTACTCAACAAGAAATCCAGGTTGCGTTATTGTTCTTGTTATTAATTGCGTCATTGATCTTTCGTGCTCCAGGTAATTCAGATTCACTGTTACAGATTTCAACTTTCATCTCATGTTTGTTTCATACGTTCTTGTTTTTGCACAGGTTTTATCACTGGTTGGGCTAAGCTCATTACAAAAACAAAAATTGGCGATGCAGTTCCAGCTATGTTCGTGGTAATCGCTTTGTTTGTGCTGCCAGCCAATTGGAATTGGTTGAAATTCATAATTGGTAGACAAGAAAATTTGCCAAAGGCAGCAACACCAGGCTTAATAAGTTGGAAGTATATCAACTCGAATATTCCATGGGGCTTGATTTTCCTATTGGGAGGTGGATTTTCTTTAGCAAAAGGTAGCAGTGAATCGGGAATGTCAAAGATGTTGGGCACCCATCTGTCGGGCCTTTCAAACTTGCCACTGTGGTTGGTGCTGCTTTTGGTTTGTCTATTTTCACAAATCGTCACAGAATTCGCACAAAATACTGCTGTTGCAAATGGTATTTATTAGCCTTTGAATCAACAACCGTCTCTTTTCATTTCTTTAATAGAGATTTTTTTTTGTTCAATTGATTTTCAGTGATATTGCCAATTTTAGCTGAGATGGCCTTGCAAATGAGAGTCCATCCATTGTATATCATGCTCCCAGCAGCTGTCTCGTGTTCAATGGCATTCCATACACCAGTTGGTATGTATTATGTTTGTATGCAAGGTCACCAAAAAAAAAAAAAAAAAAAAAATTATCGTAACTGATTCAATATTTTCAGGAACACCACCAAATGCATTCGTTACCGGACTTGCAAATATTGGTAACAAGGACCTTGCAATTGCTGGAATTGGGCCATCCCTAGTGTCACTGTTTACAATTTGGTTGTCAATGCCAATGTATGCTTCATTGGTCGTTTATCCAGGACTTCAGGGCTTCCCGGATTGGGCTGTACAAATGGTAGCCAATAAAGCAGTTGTTGATGTTGTGCCAATCTTGAATGCAACACTACACTAAAGAAATCGTTTATAAACAAAACTTAATAGAATTGTTGTTATTGAAAATGTTTCTTTGTTGATTATAATGTTTTATTATTCAATATAAGCAGTCTAAAATTTCCGAGAGAAGCGAGCAAAAAAATTATAGACATTTCTCTTTATTAGTTTGTTGCCGGAATAAAAGATACAATTTGTTTATAAGAGTACTCATTTCTCATAATAAAGATATCACATGCAGACAATATATTTGTATTTTGTCATCTGGATATTTCAGCTCATCTGGGTAACGTTTGGCGATGATACGGAGTGAAAACAATAGAAGTGATTGTTATAGTTATGTTATTATTTTTTTTATCTATACAATACAACAATCACTTCTATTGTTTTCACTCCGAATCATCGCCTAAAGTTATCCAGATGAGCTGAAATATCCAGATGAGAAAATCCAAATATATTGTCTGATCACATGCGAGAAGATTATTTTGATTACATTTTAATTACTGATAAGTGTGTATGCGGGTAATTGTAGCAAATGACAGAAAAAAAAATGTTATAAAAGTATTATGTTTGCTATTTAAGTATTTATTAAAGTATACGTGTAAAAAAAATATTGACAATAAACAAATAACAACGCTCCAGAATTATCAAATGTTTATTATCAACGTAAATTACTATCACTTTAGTTGCTATCAATTTGTTGTTTTTATAAGTGGAAACTTTTCATCGAAACCACGCATCTTTTTCATTTTTTTTTTTTAAGAGAAAGAGATTAACATATAATATAAAGTATCAACGAAAATCCATTTGTTTGAATTAAATTGAAAGGAATCAGAAAATAAAAAATTGCCATATTTTTAAATCGATACCATACTATGGTGCTTTCGTCACTTGCATATCTGATGGTTAGTGATATCCTCTGTAACTATCAAGCTGTGCATTGCTGCAACAATCGACAAAATGAAAGCAACACATCGATGAGAAAGTTTTTGGTTTTCAGTTAAAATGACCGTATATAATAATGAATGAGTTCATTAAATATTATTGACACTTGACACAATCGATACATAAATTATATTGAATACCCATTTCACAAATTCGAAATCGTTTTGGATGAGGGTAACGTTGGAAAGGACATCTTTTTCAGCATAAGCCATCGTTAGTTTGATCAAAAGCGAGAGAAAAAAGACGTCAAAAATTGTTTACAATATATTTAATTAAGTTTTCGGGTGACATTCACAATTAATTATTAGCTCATCAAGCGTACAATATTGTCCAGACCCAACTGTCTATTTCTATGCGATATCATTGAGATGAATTTCTCGATGGTTTGACATATTTATCCGAAACCATGGGGTCGTTCAATGGAAAATGTGTCTTTTTTCTTCCGTGAAAGTTTTGAGCGTATTGTTTGGCGTTGTGCATCATATAACAGCAAAATGAAGAGATAGCGTACAAAAGCAGCGATCCCATGGCTTAAGTTAGACATGTATCCATTCATCGAAAACTTTTCATATGTTTCAATTTATTAGCTGGAAGCGAACATTTACCTCAATGGAAGTTTAACATTCGCAAAAATTGATATGATATGATATGGTATGTACGTTTGATATATTGCAAAAGCATTATTGCGTCAATAGATGATGCGCTTGGATTTAAATTGATGTTGAAACTAGAATATTTTCTGCATGCAAAATTACATTAAATTCACTTTGACATGGTCAAATATTTCAAATATCGCTCAGAATTCATTTAAAACTTTGTTCATGACACGAGCTCGGTGCAGCAGGTCACAACATGCTATATGAATAGAGAGAGAGAGAGAGAGAGAGAGAGAGAGAGAAGAAAAAAGAAAATGTCCTGAAGACAATTTGTGACAATGTATCAAATAAAGCAGCAGAGATTGAGATTACGAGGCGGTGTTTGAAGGGTGTCTAAGATTGAATTCTCTTTTTTCCCGTTCGTCGCACAAATTTGTAGTAAACATTTTGATTTTAATCGATGACACGAGATGACAGATGTTGGTTTGCGCTTGATGAGCGTTGACGATGTGGTGCTATAACTTTGACATTTTCCTAGTTCCACTTGAATTTTTGTTACATTCACAATTCAATGTTGTAGAAAATGTAAAACCATCATCATTTTAATACTATATGTGCAAGATATTTTTATACGACAGAGAGATTGAGTGCTATGTTCATACTTTGATTCATGACCTATGAAAAACACCCAAAAAAGTTTTCTCGTTGATTTTTGGCCCATTTTCGACATATGCATAATTTACATTTCACCAATTGCAATTAGAACGGATACGATTGCAAAAAAGTACAACGAACCAACGGAATAGGCAACATGCAAACCATTATGGTATTTAAGTCATTTCAAATATATATTTTTGTTATTGTTATTCAGATGTGATTTACATAGCTTTGTATGTTTTTGCGGTAATGGCAAATATTACATTTGCTTTGTGTTAGAGATCCAGAGGATCCAAGGAAAACAGATTAAAACGTGACCTGTGGTAACTTATCAACTTTTCCGAAATCGGAAAACGTGATGAAATAGCCTGAAAATGATAGCAAGCGATGAGATTGAAATGATATAAATTATAATAAATTTTCTGTTTGTATTTTGAATTTATAAATTATTGGGGTATTATGGTCAAATTTAAATGTTGGAATTTATTTATATCGGCTTGATTTGATGGAAATCCTTTCAATGCGTTTCTCTCTCTCTCTCTCTCTCTCTCTCTCTCTCTCTTTCTCTCTCTCTCTCTCTGGACCATTTTTCCATCATGGATTTTGCCTTAATCATGGTATTCATTTGTGCGCTTATCAAAATTGACCGAAAATTTTGGTTGAAAATATTCAGTCATCCGTATAAAACTGAAATCATGCATTGAATTTCGGAAATATAGACAAACAAAAATAAATCCAACCGCAAATTGGATCGTTGAATACATCGGATGGATACATCGGTAAATTGTTTCAATAAATCAGTATGTGGTGATTTATTTGAATTTAAAAAATTAAAATAGTTGGCAAATGTTTTTTTTCTTCTTCGCTACCCACCTTGACAGAATAAATTGAAATTCATTCGTCGAATTAATATTTATGATATTGTTAAAATGTAAATCGTCAAATTCGATATTGCTTGTGGTGGTTTAATTAATTTGTGAAAATGTCCAGTGGTAAAATATATATTAAATTAGAGATAAAATGCCATTAAATGAATACGACAGCTTAAAAGTGGATCTCTCTCTTCAATGATGATTGATCATTGAATTGAATGAAATCGCACATTGTATCCTTTCGGATGGCACGGCATTGGTAAACATTATACATTTTATTATATCTACACATACATCCATACACGGCGTGACCTTTTTCTGCTGGCTACCCATCTGCCCACATAAGAAACATAGACAAACGGAACGCGCGTTCACGGTCTCACTATCCAACCATGAAAGCTTTTGAGACACTCGAACACCCATGTCAAGCACATTTCATCAACTCGACTCTTCGTTTATTTAACGAGTAAAATCCACAACAGTTTAGTGACAACAAACAACAAATATACATACATCTCGGTCGTTCTTTTGCTATTTCTCTCTCTATCATTTGTTGCAAGACAAACAAGAATGAGTTAACCAATAAATCGTCTATTTAATTTCGAGTGGATCTATTTCAATTTTGACGTTGTTTGCATGTTTTATTAAATTCTGCTGATACGCGCCCGTTCTTCGATGCTGATCTCTACAAATCCAAACATATTTGATATTGTTCTAAAGTCATTAAATGTTTTATTCATTGATGATATGTTCACATGTGAAGTGGATGGATTTCAATGTCATGAGGAACTGTTGGTTGAAGGACAATAAACCAACAACGGGAGTGGGTTGAAGGGTGTGTTTGTATGTATTGTACAGGGTCGATATTTACGTATGTCTTGATTTTGTATATCATTTTTTTTCGACGAATAAACATTTATTTGTGTCGTGCAGATGGTGGTTAAAGCCTTTTTTTCTTAAATGCTGACTTGTCATAATCGACGGTGGCTTTTGTGAAATGCCAAAAAAGAATTGAATTGAAGGTGAAACAAATTCAGCAGAATCAAACGCTACAATGATTGAAAAATAAAATAAAATAGAGACAAAAAAAGACACATTCAACAAAGCAAACCAAACATCAAACGTAAAGTGATTCGTTTTTTCACCCACTCTCTTTCTCTCTTGTTCGAAATTGGTTGGCATTTGCCCTATTCATTTTTATGCTTATTGGTAAATGTGCTGAAATGTGACGAGCAAAAAATATTTCACGGAATTGTTTTTAGTTTCTTTATGTATGTTGTCTGCTGATTGTGTTTCTTTCTCTTTTGCTACTTTTTTCTGTTCGAGTCAGCACGATACTTGTGCAATTCACAATGGAATTTGTATTGTTTCATTTTCTCCCGATGAATAAAAAAAAAACATTTCGCGCATTTAACGTGCTAATACCAGCTAATATTTGCTATTTTGTTATTTGCCACAGAATGCCACAGAACAATGATACATTTTATCATTTTGAAATGCGACTCAAAATTATGACATTCGACAATGAATTCATTGATTTGGACATGTCTTCTCATTATCTGCAACTTTTAACCATGAACCCACTTCACCCCTCATTCATTGCAAACGGTTTGTTTTCATAGTCTTTGTATTTTAATAAACACCCATGTTTATATTGTGCTTAGTTTTTAAATGGCATCAAAAATTATTATACTCGGATCAAGCGATGTCTTCATTTCATTTGCTGCGAAGCATTAAAATCCATTTGATGAAATCGATTCGCATGAAAAATATGATGGCAGAGCTATTTGGTGAATTTGCCACGTCGAATAAGTACAATGGATGGATCCAAAATGGGTTTTTATTCGATATATATTCAACTTCAAGTCAAAATGACGACAATCTCCTTCCACTTCCTTTATTCTTGTGAAATCCAAAAACTTTTTCATTGTTGCGTTGGGTTATTTTTTTATTGTCGTCGTCGTCACTGTTGTCCCCTTCTTCTTCTCTTAAAATCCATTTCTTTGTTTGGATGAGCACAATAAATGCTTAACCCAGTTTTTTGTTCTTCTCCCAGTAACTCTCACTTTTGTTCTTCCCCTCTGTATTCCTCTCTCACTTTCTGCCTCTCATTCTGTCCATTTCCCTATTCTACTGAAACAGTGTAACAATTCATTCTTGAGAACAACAT